TGTTCATGATCCCCTTCAAGATTCGTCAACACAAGTCGCATAATGAAAAAGAGAACCTATGCTCGTTTCAGTGCCGTTGCACAAAATGGTGCGCAACCGTCTTTCTTTGAGTCGGTAGTGCCAATAAGCTGCACAAGCGACTCGATTGTAGATCTAATTGCACTACTGTCTTATACTCACAGCACGAGAGAAACGGCATGAAGTTATTGATCATCAATATGGACTCGTTTCTGTATTCGTCTTTCTACTAAAGATCCACAATGCTTTGAGAGCATCTCGCGTAGAGGTTTCTGCCTCGCAAGCCAAAACTGTATGCTATTTCGTAACACCATATTATTCAATATTTTTAAGAGAGAGTGATACTACCTTTTTTTTGTTGGCTAGATTTTCTTTGAATCTCACAGCCAGAGTCTTTACGGTTTCTCGAATATATATGGCGCCACAAGCTATGCCTCTACATGATGCACTAATTACTTTACCACAATTACTATTTTCACTGTGCGGAAAAACTACATATTCTTGAAATGCGGTGTCGTAAAGCCTCTTCCATATAAGCCGTTTTTTGATGTTATGGCTCCAGATGTTCACCAAGAAATCGTCGTTCAGTCGAACTTGATGCTTTGCCGCACAGCAACTTACTCTATCAGGCGAAGGGTAAACAGAGTTTCCGGAACTAGATTGAACAATTGATAATTATTAGAGGGAAATTGAGAACTAGCTAAGGATTGATGAAGTATCTGGCGGGATAGAGATATGATCGCCAATGAGTAAACTCACCTCAAAAAACTCGTAGTGGCATAATAGAAAAATAATGGATCGGCTAAAGTCATTGCTTTTCAGAACATCATTGCATAAATTTCTAAGTAGCTAATTGACGCCTTAATAGAATGCAGAGTTTATCGTAGGTGGCTTATGCAAGGTAAGATAAATAGATGGAGGAAGATATTGGGTAATTCTTTGTTTTCAAATTGCGGTGAGCGCTGAGAACAAAAAACCTTAAGCAAACCCTCAGACGAATGAGTCGCCTTTGTTTTAAACTTAACCAATTTGTGTCTGCGATTTTTTATTGAATTTTAACGAAGCTGTAGCCCATAAGTAGGATTATAATTGTGCTAATGTGAGGTAGATGTATAGCAAATTCGTTACCTATCGCACTTTGAATGAATTTGTCATATTTATGAAGCGTATATAAGGTAATTCAAATTTGAAGAATATGC